GGGGTCTCTCCGGCTGCGCCCCCGCGGCCCACGTGGCGGCCGGCGGGCGGGGGTGCATCCCTGCAGAGGGTCCCCGGCCTTGGCCAGGGCAATGGGGGGGGCCTGCGGCGGAGGCGGGGCCGGGCGTCGTGGGGGACGCGCGCTTTTGTCTGCGCCCCGGCGGGGGCTCGGCCACCCCGGTTCCCGGCGCCCTCCGCGCTCACCTGCCCGGAGTTGGAGTTCTTTGTCTGGGGCGGGGCGCGGCCGGCGGAGGCTGTGCCGCGTGTCTGAGCGGAGACTGCCCCGCGGGTCGGGTCCTCGAAGACAAAGCGCGCTGTGACCTCCGCCCGGCGCCGGGATTGTGCACCCTAGGGGAGTTAGTGCCGGCCGTGACACTCTCCCTACCGGGCGTGCCCCCTCCACCGAGACCGTGAACCTGCAGCCCGGGCACCTCCCACCTGTATTTTCGCCCCGAGTGACCCTTTTCTTCCGCCCCCACGCTGGATCACTGCCAGGTGTAGAAACGATGTGGCTGCCTGGGTCACATCCCAGTAGATGGTCTTCGGGAAGTTATTTGCACAGGCCTGGTGGCCGCACTGGGGCTGCACACCCCCCTTGGGTCTGCTGGCCAGCTCCAGACCCCTCCCCCTGGAATGGAAGGAACAGAGGAACTGTGCTGGGCGAGCTCCAGCAGGAGCGTCTGTTTCCGTGCCCTGGGAAAGGGGCTGGCACGCGGGCGCAGCCCCCAGGGATGCCTGCCCCGTCTGTTCAGAGCCTTCCCAGGTGGGCATGGCTGTGCCTGGCCAGATGTCCAGGCCTCTCACTGTGGGCCAGGAACCTGCCCGGGTCCCTTCCCAGGACCCCTACAGGGACTCAGGTCCCTCAACTTCCCCAAGCAAACTTTAACTTGGGCCCTCCGTGGCACTGGGGGTGGTGGGGACTGGATGGACCTGGGAGAATGCCTTCCCTCCTGCCTTTGCCAGGCTGGCATCCAGGGTGAGGAGTGGTGGGGAAGACACCCCCCCAGCCCCTCCACTGTTCCCCTAGAATTTCCAAGTGTCTGGGGCGCCACCTCCTGGCCCCTACTCAAGCCCCAGGCCTTGAACTGAACCAGCGCAGCCTTAGGTGAACTTGCTCCCCCCTCCCCCCAGGCTAGGACCAAGAGGAGTCGTGCCCCACAGAACACACGAATTTTCTCAGCGCTGCCTCTCCGCGTTCCTTTCTGATACCGCCTTGTTCCGATGGGAATGGCTGTGTCAGAACAGGGGGCTCGAACAGGGTTGGGGCTTGGGCCCCCCGCTCCCCAGCTTCCCTTTCCCCGCCCAGACTCCTGGATGGTAATGGCAGCAGGGGTGGCGGGGCCTTGAGCTCGTTCATGTGCTCTGCCCATGTGCTCTGCCGAGAGATAAGGAGCCTCTGGTCGTGGCGCTGAGCTGGGGACCCTCGAGGCTGCTTGCGCAGTTAGCACTGTCCCCTTGGCCCAGAGGGCCTGTCAGCGCCACAGATGATGAAGACCTTAAGGGGCCGCCTCGTTAGAGGAGATTAGAGGAGACGGCTGGCACACAGCAGCTCCTCTCATCGGTGGCGGTGCCCACACACGTCCAGGGCAGCTGAGAGGCAGCCAAGCAAGAAAAGACCTTCAGACCCGTGCCCTGGTGCAGGGGGCTGGGGGGGAGGTCGGGCCTCCCACGGGCCTCACACAGCCTTGCAGGATCGGGGACAGATTGCAGTTGGGGGCACTGGAAAGACACTGGAGTGCTTGAGTCGGGGGGTGACCTGTTCTGATTTGGATTTTTTTTCTTTTTATTTATTTATTTATTTGACAGAGAGAGAGAGAGAGTGCATGAGCATAAGTGGGGGAGGAGGGGCAGAGGGAGAGGAAGAAGCACACTCCCCACTGAGCAGGGAGCCTGATGTGGGGCTCGATCCCAGGACCCTGGGATCATGACCTGAGCAGAAGGCAGATGCTTAACCGACTGAGCCACCCAGGCGCCCCTCTGTTTTGGATTTAAAAGAGACTCTTGGCTTTGTGGAAAATTCATCTGTGGGCATGTTAATGAGCCCAGGTAATGATAACAGAGCTGTCACTTGGGCGCTGCCGTGTGGTCCTGGGGTCTCTGGACGGGCCCTGGGAGGGTGGGTGACCCCTGTGCCATCAGGCAAGGGTACAGCGTAGGGGTGCAGTTGTCATCGCTCCTGGCAGATCTGGGGCCATGCCTGCCATAGAGTGAACTCGTGTGAGCTGTCCTCCTGGTCACTTTGCAGACAAACAGACCAGGGGCCTGGCCCCGAGGGGCAGACGGGGACAGGCACTGCTGGCCATGTGTGGAGCCAGAGGCTGGGCTGCAGTGCCCCCCTCCCCCACTAGGGCTGACAGCCCGCCCCGCCCTGCCCCTGCAGACCCCCAGCTCAGGTGGATACCCCATGGGGACTCCTAGGGGTGAGGTGATAATCCAGGGACTCTCACAGCCACTACTCACCATGTAGAATGTACTGGAAACAAACTCGGAAGAGAAGACGTCACGGCCGTGGCACCCCTGCGTGGGAGCGCAGCATGTCCCACCCAGCTGGTGGCGGGTGAGGTCACACATGGTCTAACAGGCCAGCAGGAAGGACCCCTCCATGCACTGCTGCCCACACTCAGTCAGACACGGGGAAGGTGGAGTCTGTGCACCCACCTCCCTCGCCTGGAGCTTCCTGCTTTGGAGGCCCACCATGGGTCTTGTTCACCTGTCAGGGGCTCCGGCCCGGCTCCTGGGGCACCGGGCTGGGGGCTGCATTACCACCCTCTTTTCTTCCTGGTCCCGGTTTTGGGGACAGGATTAGAAAAAGCTAACCCCATTCCAGGGTGATCGCAAAGTATTACAGTGACAGGCTTTGTCCTGCGTTTATGGTTCTGTTTCTCATATTTAAATCACCGATCAGTCTGGAATTATTCTGATTGGGGAGCAGCTTCCCCTTTTCCTAGCAGCCAGCTCCAGTCACACACCGTTCACTTTCCCACCGACTAGCAGTGTCCGGCCTGGGTCATGCACGGGCCTGGGTCTGTTCCTGGGTCAGGAGTGCATCTTAAAATGGACTCCTGCACCGTAACATACATGCAGTAAGATGCTCCTGTTTCAAGTGTGCAGCGTGATGCACTCTGACAGATGCATATGACTACGTTTCCGCCACCACCGTCAGAGAACGCTTTCATCACCCCAGAAAGCGCCCTCGTGTTTTCTCTTAATTTTGTATTTATTGTGGTAAGAGACACAACAAAACTTACCATCCTAACCATTTCTAAGTGCACAGTGAACAAGCATTAAGCACCTTCACACTGTTTTGCAGCCTCCGCCAGCTCTGTCCACCTCCATCCACCCCCGGACTCCACCTGGAAAACCAACACTGTCCCTACTAAACCCTGGCTCCCCCACCCCAGCCCCTGGCGCCACCTCTACTCTGTATGAATCTGACTCCTCAGATAAGTGGGATCCTCCAATGTTTGTCCTTCTGGTTCTGGCCTCTTTCAGCACCGTGTCCTCAAGGTCCATCCAGATAGTAGCAGGTGTCAGGATTTCTTTTTAAGGCTGAGTGGTATCCATTGCACGTATGGACCATTTTGTTCTTCCATACACCTGCTGATGGACAGCTGGCCACTCCCACTTCTTGGCTACTGTAAATAATACTTCTGTGCCTATTAGTGTACAAATAATTTGTTGGAGACTCTGCTTTCAGTTTTGGGGAGTGTGTATCCAGGAGTGGGATTGCTCTATCACGTGGTATTTCCACATTCAACCTCGTGAGGACCTTCTGGACCACTGTCCACAGTGGCTGCACCTTTTACCTTCCCGCCAATGGTGCTCGAGAGTCCCAGCTTCTCTGCATCCTAGCCAGCACCTGCTGCTGTCCGGCTTTAATAGTGGCCGTCCTCATGGGCTGAGCCCCCATGCTCTTTGGTGCCCGGTCGTTCCCCGCCACCCTCCCGCCCGCCCAGCAGCAACCACTGACCGCTTTCCACCAGGAAGTCCAGCATAGGGCCTCTGCACACATGAGAGGCAGTGGTCCTGGGGCCAGGGGATATGAGGGCTGGGGCGATGGCTGAAGAACTCACAGTTTCATTTTGGGGTGATGAAAATGTCCTAAGCCTGACTGAAGTGACAGTTGCTCACAGCTGCAAAGACACTAAAACCACTGAATTGTACCACCTTTGAGAGGTGAATTGTATGGCATGTGAATTATAGCTCAGTGAAGCTGTTTTTTAAAAGTCAACTAGTGGGGTGCCTGGTTGGCTCGGTTGGTGGAGCGTACAACTCTTGATCTCGGGGTTGTGAGTTCGAGCCCTACATTGGCTGTAGAGTTTACTTAAAAATAAAATCTTAAAAAAAAATCAACTAGCAAGAAAAGGGCAGTCTTACGGAGCTCCTTCCTGTGAGCTGTGGCAGAGTCCTCCACACAGGGCCACGTCCTCACCCTGACATCGCGCCATCTTGCGTGCATGTGGGCGTCTCCCCAGGAGAGAGGCTAAGAGGTGAAATCCATCAGAAACCACTTGGAGCAGAATGCTCTGCTCTGGACACTCTGCCTCGTCACAGCCATGGTTCCCCAGACCTGTGACTTGGACCAAAGTGTGGTGGGTGCTATCCTGCAGCCTGTTCAGTTCCAAGCTCTGCTCCGTCCTCTGGCACCAGGCCCAGCAGAGTCCTAGGGTTCCTGGGGCTGGCCCTGCCAAGATGCACCTGAGTTCCCAAGTGCCAGCCCCCCACTGGCAGGGCCACACTGAACCCCCACATCTCTGCTGAGCATCCTTGAGTCCCTGGTCTGGGGTTGAGTGACCTGTGTGCCCACATGCTTGCACCAGGCCTGGGCATGGTCACCCTCCTGGGTGGCAGCTGGACACAGGAGGACACATTCTGCCAGGCCAGGCAGACCTCACATGCACAAAACCTGCCCAGACCTGTGTCCTGGGGGCAGGGTAAGAGCCAAGTTCACCCCCAGGCCCTTCATCCCCTCTGTTTCTGACCCTCCTGTCTGTTTTCCAGGCATCTGTGGGCTCTGAGAAGCTCTTCGCCCCAGCAGCCGATAAAGGTAAGCATGTTCCTTGGCCTCACCTCCTCGCCTCTAGGAAAGGACAGGACACATCCCAGAAGTCATCATGGGAAGGGACAGTGGGCCTTTTGTGGCAAGAGTGTGGGCTCCAGGTTAGGCTCTATCATGGGTCGGGTTCTGGATGCAGAGCCTGAGGCAGGAGTTACGTGCTGTGATTTACAGCTCCCCTCCCCCCCCCCCCGGGGCAAAAGCTACAAGGAAAGCAGAAGTCAGGAGCAGGGCCAGCAGTGCAGCAGTGGTTCCCAAAGTGGGGTTCCTGCCCCTTCCCCAGAACTGTTAGCAAGGCATGTTCCCAGACCCTCCCGAGGCTCATGGGGTCAGGTGCTGTGGGGACAACTGGCAGCTTGTGGTTTGGCACCTGCTGAGGCACCCCTGCCACGGTATAGGCTGGCTGCCAGGGCCACCACTGCACACATGGCTAACGTTGCCATGAAGGGACTAGATCCCTGCACAGCAGCCCCACCCCCTGGCCAGCGGCCCCCACACGGTAGCACAGGCACATGGTGCCAGAAAGCTCTCCTGGCCTGCACTGCTCTAGAGAGTGAGTTCCCCAGCATCCAAGGCCAGGAGAGACCATTGTCACCCAGCCTGCCAGGGTCACTGGACCCAGCACAGAGAAGGGGCCTGCTTGGAAGGCTCTGTCCAGATGGGACTGGACGTGACAGCCTTGCAGCACAGACAGGTGGGGGCCCGCAGTGACCCGTCCTGCTGGTCTGGGAGCAGGGCATGGTCTCCCCGTGCTTCAGGTGGAGAAGCCTCGTCCTCAGATCAAAGCATTTCTGCAAAGCCCACACACGCCAGAGAGAGTCAGGGTAGGGGATGCCGGACTGGTCTTGGGAGAGAGTTTCACACAGAGTGTAACACAGAACCGTGTCCTTTTCAACGAATAATCACAAAATGGACGGACACTTACCCTCTCAACAGTCTGGAGACCAGAAGTCTGAAATGAAGGTGTTGGCAAGGCCACACTCCAGAAACTCTAAGGGAGGTTCCTTCCTTCCTCTGCCTCTTGGGTGTCCTTCCCACCTCCCATGGTCTCCTCCTCTTGTCTTAGAAGGACGCCCATCACTGTGTTTAGGGCCCACCTTGTTCCAGACTGGTGTCATCTCAATATCCTTAGCTTGATGACATCTGCAAAGACCCTTTTTCCAAATTAGGTCACATTCACAGGTTCTAAGGACCACAGTTTGGACAGGGCTTTTTGGCACAGTTCAGCCCACTGCCAGGTCCACTCACGCACGTGCGTAGGCAGAGCTCGGGCAACCAGTCAGGGCTCTGCAGTGCCCAGGGAAGCTTCTAGCAGGGGTGACCACTCGTAGTGCTCATGCCTTCCCAGTGAGGGGAGGGGCTGCAGGAGGGCCAGGGCATTGGCCGCACACCAGCTCTGCCCAGCCCACACCTGCCTCTTCCCATCCTCACGTCTGCTCACGTCTGTGCTTACTTTGCAAGGGGTGGCACAAAAGATGGAGGAGAGAGAGGTCAGAGTGCCAGGCTGGCACCCCTTGGCAGCTGTGAGTGGGTGGGCAGAGATGGCGCCATGAGCCATCAGGCCTCAGTCCCTGTTCTCGTGGCAGTGGTGGTGCTAGTGGGGGTGGCCTCCTCCCCAGTTCTGGCCCTGAGCAAACATGCGGGCTGCTGGTTAAAGCGGGAGGTGTCACCCGAGAGGAGGCAGAAGGAGCCATTTCCTGCTGCCACCGGTTTCTGCCAGGGGAGGAGACGTCCCAGAGGTTCAGCAGAGTCCTCTGGGTCTCGCTGCCGGCCCGAGGCCCACGGCCTTGCAGCTGCAGGCTCTCTGCCCCACTCAGCGCGGCAAGTGCCTGCATGGGCCCCAGGAGGACGCGAAATCTGCCCTGCCCGCAGCCCAAATGGGGTGACCGCAATCAGGAACCTGGATTCCCACTCCTGGGAAACTGGGCCGTGGTCCGCTCGAGACAAAGCCTCCTGTGGCCTGGACACGTGCCCTCTGCCTAGCCTGCTTTGGGGATTCCTGACCCGCCTGACCTCTGGGCACGTGACCTGAGACACTGCTTAGAAGGGCGGGTTTGGAATGAGTAGGGAGGAGGTCAAGGTCACGAGCGCATGCACAGTTCCAAGGGGAGCAGTCTCCGCGGGATCTGCCTGGACCGTGGGTGTGGCGAGGGTGGGAGACGACCTGGACGGCGGCAGTTAGGGGGGGCGGGCAGCAACTTCTTCCCACCAGGTCCCAGCGAGGCCAGTCCTCTGGAGGTCTCCCCCAGGTCATGGGCCCAAAGAGGGCTCAGGCCATGGGTCACCTGGGTGGTTGCGGAAAGAACGCAGGCCACTAGCGCGCGTGTTGCGCAGTGGCAGGAAGGGCCTGTCCATGCGGGCATCAGGTTCGGACCAATGCCCTGCTTGGGCCGAGCGTGCGCTGCACTTTGCCTCCCTTCCGGAAAGTGCGAGCTCTCTGGGCCGGCAGCCCTCCTCCCCAGCCCTGGCCCCTGTGGACTGGGTGGTGGGGGGCTCAGCCCTGGCTGTGACCTCGCTGCCACTGTCCTGAGTCAGGCCCAGCTCACTCCGGCCCTCTCTCCGCAGGCCCCACGCTGGGCGAGGAGGCCGAGGCCAAGGCCGGGGCGCCGCCCAAAGTCTCGGGCCTGGAGCGCAGCCGCGAGTTGAGCGCCGAGCCGCCCTTCCTGCCCACGGTGCGCAGCCCCGCGCCCCCCGCCGACCCCGCGACAGGCGCCCCGGCCAGCCCGCCGGTCAAGAAGGAAGCCCCTGCCCTGCCCCGCCTCACCCCGCAGCCGCCGCCCGCGCCCCCACAGCCCCGCGCCCCGCTCCCGACGCACGTGCCTCTGCCCCTGGGCGCCTTCGCCGGCCAAGGCCAGGCTGCGCACAACGGCCTGCACAGCCTCAGGTGGGGAGGGGAGGGGCCTGCGCGGGGCGGGGGCGGGGGCCGCGCGGACGCCCCGCCCCCAGGCACTGAGCCCCGCCCCCCGCAGCAGGAGCAGCGGCGCCGGCAGCAGCGCCAGCCTCGGGCTCGCGAAGCACGCGTCCCTGTCGCCTCTCGGGCCGGGCCCCCACCTGTCTACCTCACACTTGGCGCTCCGCTCGCAGGCCCAGCACCAGCACCACGCGGCGGCCATGTTCGCCGCCCCCCCGACACTGCCCCCGCCCCCGGCGCTGCCGGCCAACAGCCTGGTCATCCCAGGACACCCTGCCGGTAGGTGCTGGCTGGGGCCGGGGTCGCCGACCCCCGCACAATGATCCTCACCTCTGGGCAGGTGGGAGGGACTTGGTCTCCCCGGGGAAGGGGTACGGGCTCCTGAGGCAGAGCCTCCCCTACCTGCTCCCAGACACCAGGGGCTGATGGCAGGGCCCTGGCCCCCCGCAGGCTGCCTTTCCCAAGGGGGTCCCACTGCCCGGTGTCGGCCTGGGTTGTGCACACGCACGCAGGCGCATGGGTGCCCCACATGTGCACACAGAAACAGACGCATCCGCTGCTCCATCCTGAGCCCTTGCCAGGCCTAGTCAAGGGGAGGGGGGCCTGGAGCGGCTCCGTTGCCGGGCCAACAAAGGCTTCCAGGGCCTGCTGTGACCTTTGCAGTCCCTCATCCCTAGTGTGTCTGGGACGACGGGGTGTGCAGAGCTGAGTCCTGGAGGAGGGGGTCTCCAGGTGAACCACAGCAGCCTGGCCTCTCCCTCCTGCTTGGTTCTGGCAGGTGCCCCTTCAAGGCCAAATATCAGGTCATTGAAGATTTCTCCCAGGGGTCTCGTCTCCACGTTCTTTGTAAAATCCTGAGCAGCCCACCGCAGGTCCGGGCAGCTCGGTGCCCTGGGATGGGACCAGGACGCTGGGCTGGGGGGCGGGGGCAGGGCTCCCCTGTGGCCGGCTTGGGGGGCACCGGGGGCTCACGGTGTTCTCTCTTGCCTTTAGATGCCAGCCTGTTGATCTCATTCAGCCAGCCAATCATGTATTGCCAGCCTCATTCGGGGATTCTGATTGGTACTTGGTCACAGGCACCTCTCTTACCTCCACCCTGGGGCCCGCACCTAGCGAGCGGCCACCACGGCTTGGCCTGCCGAAACCAGTGCCAGGTGACTATCCGCCTCGCCCCGCCCGGAGCCCGCGGCCGACGTGCCTCTCCGTCTCTCTCTCTTTTTCTCTTGTAGATCACGAGCTGCTCAGGCAAGAGCTGAACGCGCGTTTTCTGGTCCAGAGCGCTGAGCGGCCCGGCGCCCCCCTGGGCCCGGGGGCTCTGCTGCGGGCGGAGTTCCACCAGCACCAACACACACACCAGCACACACACCAGCACCAACACACATTTGCCCCCTTCCCCGCGGGGCTGCCCCCGACGCCGCTCCTGCCGCCCGCCGCACCCCCGCCGGTGCGTAGGCCCCCCATGCGGGTGGGCGGGGGGCGGCCCGGGCGGCGGGACACACAGCAGGCACACGCAGACGCTCTCCGCACGCACGCCGGCCAAGGCCGCCCCGTCTGGCCGTCTGGCCCCTCCTCTGGTCCTTCTCTGGGTCCTGTCGTGAGGTTCCCTGTTGTGGGCTTGGGCGGGTGCCCCACGTCCACACTCGGGTGGCACGGCCTTGGGGCCAGTCGTACCCACACGGGGTTTTCACCGTCTCAGTCTGCAGCAGGTCAGCAGGTCTGGAGACGGAGGACTGAGAGGGCGGGGGGACCAGGACTCCCTCCCATGGGCCCCGGGTCCTGGGCCCTCGTCTCTGGAGCCAGCTGCTGTGTCGGGCAGAGTCCATGCCACCAGGCTTTGGTCTGTGAAGGGCCAGGTCCCTGGGCTCCTAGGTACATGTCACTGCTTGGCGACCAGCTCTGGGCTCCATGCCCCCCATCATGGCTGCAGCATCTCCCCCTGGGCCTCAGCCAGTACAGTCGGATGGTGCACATGGGCCACTTTGCACCTCCCGCAGTGGGACCGTTAGAACAGGGAGGGGCCCCTCCCAGTCTGAGAGCTGGGCCCCAAGGGGCCAGGTCAGGGCATTGGGCCAGTGTCCTCAGGGAGCCCAGGGGACAGCTGGCTACAGACCAGCAGCCGCAGGAAGCAGGACAGCCGTCTGGGCCTCCACCTGGCCCAACGGGGCGTGGGTGCTGGGCCCAGTGGAGGGTGTGGGCAGGCTCGGCAGGCCTCACTCTCCGCTTTTTTCCTTCCAGTTTGATAAGTACGCACCCAAGCTGGACAGCCCCTACTTCCGACATTCCAACGTGAGTGTCCCTCTGTGGTCACCGGGCTGGCCGTAGGCTAGAGGTCGCGGGCAAAGGGTGGGGCTGCGCCTGCCCAGAGCCTTGTCAGGTTCCCTCCATGTAGAGCAGGGGCCCGGCCCAGCGCCCCCCCCCAGGATGTCCATGCTCCCCGCCGGGGCCCTGGAACGCTCCCCCTCTTTCTCTTGCAGTTTTTCCCGTCTTTCTCTTCTGCCATCCCCGGACTGCCCACCCTGCTCCCACACCCAGGCCCCTTTGGGTCCCTACAGGGTGCTTTTCAGCCCAAGGTACCAGCTGCTCCTGGGGTGGACGGGGTTCAGGGCACACGGGAGCCCCCGCCATGCAGTTGTGTGTGTTGCAGTCCTGGTGTTGGTGTGAGCCAGCCATGCCGGGTGGGGGCTGGGGGCTCACGTGCTCCCTGCGGGGCCTCAGCAGGACCCCCAGCCTCGGCAGTGGCAGGGGGGGCACCAGGGAACAATGGGAGTCAGGCTGCACGCATCCTCGTTCCTCAGCTGGGAGTGCTTGAGGTTGGTGTGGAGAGCATCAGGGCAGAGGGGAGGTCTATGTGGGGCGTCCAGCACGGGGCCGTCCGTGTCGCGGGAGGCCCGGGAGAGGGCTGGGCTTACTCCTCTCACCTTCCCCCAGAGCAGGGCCGCCTCAGCCCCCTAAGCCAGGCATGTCCTTGTCAAGAGCCCCTTCCCCCCTTTGCAGAAACCCTTGGACTGAGGATGTGGGAAGCCAGGCCCCGCCCACCCCCCGGGTGGCAGTGTGCAGGGGCGCGGGCTCCGCAGCTCTGTCACGTCCTGTTCTCTCCCCCAGACTTCCAACCCAATCGAGGTAACAGGCCGGGCCAGTGCTGTTCACACCCTCCTCCAGAAAGGCCCCGGGGTAGGTGGCCACACTGCCCATCCTTCCCGCCCTGGGGTCACCCCAGCCAGCCCAGTCCCCCTTGTGGCGATGGTGGCAGGGCATGGCCACCCCCAGAGCCTGGACCTAACACTTCCTTCTCTGTTGCTGACAGGTGTCCGACCCATACCGGACCACAGTCAGGGTGAGTGTGCAGGCACACGTCTGTGCGTGTGTGCATGTGCCCTTGGGAGGGAGGATCGTGGCTGAGGAGGACTCTGGGTGCCTCCCGGATGGCCCCAGGGGTGCCCACAACAACAGGAATCTGGGGTGCTGAGGGGGGCAGAAGGAAGAGGCCCCACTGTGCGGCTGAGTGTGTGGCCCGCCCTGTCACAGAAACCTGGGAAGTGGTGTGCTGTGCACGTGCAGATCGCCTGGCAGATCTACCACCATCAGCAGAAGATAAAGGTGAGCCGGTCACGTGTCCTGCCGGCTGGGCCGTGTCCTGATGCACCCCTTCGGGGCCGCGTCTGAGATCCTCAGACATTCACTGTGTGCCCGTCATGGGGTCACACGGGGTAGGGCTGGGAGGAGGCTGGGTGGTGGTGGGGGGGGTCACCCAGGATGCCCCCAGGCAGGGGTTTGGGATGAGCTGACCCTGTGCCGGTCCCACCAACATCATTTGAGCCATCCACGTGACCTTCGATTCTGTCCCCCGACCTTTCCTCCAAGCACTTATTGAGCACCTGCTGTGTGTGCCTGGGTGCTCAGCAGTGAACAGGGGACACTGAAGGGGGCAGGGTGGTGCCAGGTGGGCGCTCTGGGGACGCACCGCGGGCTGGGGATGCCAGGGAAGGGTGGGTGGGGGCAGTCTAGTCACCCGGACCAGAACAGGGGCAGCCAGGGGCCCAGCCCCCGGTCCCAGAAGGGTCCTGACACCCTCTGCTGCTATCTCTGGTCACATGCACCTCCGTGCATGGCTGTCAGAAATGATCCCGCCAATGTGCACTGCGAGAAGTCCACAGGGCCTTAGGACAAAGCACTGTTGCACTCCGCGAATGTTCGGGTATAGCCCCGGGGGCGGCGCCTGTGGGCCAGAGACCCCCACTGCCGGGACAGGGCGCCAGAGGTGGGCAGCACCAGCGAGCACTCAGCCCGGCCCCTTAGCCTCATGGGGCCATCACAGCAGAGCCACAGGCTTGTTTGTCCTTATTTAATAAACTTAAATGCTAATAGCGATGCCAAATCCAGTCACTGGAAACTTCTAAGCAAGTTTTAGACAACAGGTACTAGGAATCCACTCTTTCAACTCAGTTTCACAAAATCTTACCACAGGTGAAGTATTACCAGTGAAAGTGTAAGGTCCCAACTGAGGTGCTTTAGCGTAAACACAGCTCTCAGAGGCCCCAGAAGGCACGCGACACCCCTCTGTCCGTCACGCGTCCTGACAGCACCCGGCTCTCCTGGGTCAGGACGAGGGCCCGTTCCCAGCAGGTAGGATGAGCCACGGCGCCCGGTAGGGCGGGCGGGCCCTGCACGTGCTCTGTCCCTCTCAGCAGATGCAGCTGGACCCCCACAAGCTGGAGGTGGGCGCCAAGCTGGACTTGTCCAGCAGACCCCCTGCCCCGGGCGTGTTTGCCGGATTCCACTACCCGCAGGACCTGGCCCGGCCCCTCTTCTCTGGCTCAGGTAAGGCACCCTGTCCAGAGCACAAGGAAAGGGGAGGTCCAGCCTGTTCCCTGGGCTGGCGCTCCAGCAGGACAACTCCAGATGCACTGGGGCACCCCCTGGCATCCCCTGCCTCTGTGCCTCCGTGTGTGGTACCCTCCCCGGGCACCCCCTCTGCCCTGGAGCTTCCGCTTCTGCTGTCCCCCCACCCCCACCTGAGGCAGGGGTTGAGGGGGAGTCCTCCCCTGTGCCCGGCCTGCCCATCTCCCAGGAGGGGTTTTGGCACAGCCCCCAAGAATCCATGTGCCTGCCCTGGCACAGTCTTGCCATGCTGGGGCCCCCGGGCCGCCCCCAGTTTCAAGGATCATGGGGAGCCCTTCCAGGACTCAGCATAACCCCCCACAGCTAAGATGCATCCCAGGGAAGGGACACAGCAGAATGGGCAAAGGGGAAGAGCGCATGGGGTGAGATCAGCAGGAAGCCGGGCGCAGGACCGCTGAGGGCTGGCCTGTGGAGGCCCGGGACGCACCCCATTTCCTCGGCAAGGAACCGAGATGACGCACACCAAGTGCCATGGCGCCGGGACGCTCACAGACCCAGCGCCCAGGGGTTTTTACTGGGGGCAGGTCACGTAGCTCTTCTGCCCGCACACACCCAAACCACAGACTCCCAGAAGAGAAGCAGGCACTCCACGTGAACCAGTGTTAGCGCAAGTGAGTCAGGTTCACAAGGCGCTGCTGTCTGAGAAAGGGGAGAACCTGAGCCCCGAGTTCCCAGCCTCACACGCAGGTGCTCCCGAGGCCGGCCATCTGAGCCCGCGCTGTGAGCACCCCACACAGCTGTGCACGGCCCACCTCTGGAGGGGTCTGCTCCTCCCCTCCCCAGCAGTCAGGGCCCTGCAGGCGCCGCCTTTCTCAGCCCTCCCTGACTGCCCTGCTCCATCTTCGTGCACGCTCACCTCCACCTGCAGCCCCCTCCCACCCAGACATGCGGTCAGCAGGCTGGGGTGCTGGGTGTGGACAAGGGCACCCAGGCTGGCCTCCGGACAGGGGGGTGTCCCTCAGAAAACAGAGGTCCTCCCATCTGGGCTTTAATCCGTGGAGTCCACAGGACCCGCATTCATCGTGGGGCCCAGGCGGTGGGCCTAGGCTTCCTGTGCTGCGTGGAGCCTGGGCTCCCCGCCCACGCACAGCGCAGCCCTGCCGCGCCGTCCACATATGCCCAGAGCACGCCCCCCAGACCGGGCCCCAGGCTTACGGACGCCGGCTGCCTGCCCTGGTCTGGGGTGGGTGTCTCTCCCCCCATGTCTATGCTGCCGCCCTTCCCAGCTCCCGAGCTGGACGCTTGCCTGTCGGCTCATTGGCTTTTGCTCACTGCGTGTGCTCTTAGAGTAATGCATTCCCCCACACATGCAGGTACGCGTCTTCGCTAGCACCATGGCAAGCTGTTTATTTCCTAAGTTCCAGTTTGATGTCCTGTGAGTGATTCAGGAGAGCGGCTAGCTTTCTGGTGGGGAGCTCCCGGAGATGAGAAACTGCATGTGTGCTGTGGAGGGGCTCGCCGGCGGCACCCCAGCAAGCAGGTGTCCCCCAAGGTGGGGGACGCTGCAGAGACGAGTGCAGCCCCATCCTGGTCTATGCCGGGAATCCGCCCTCCTGAACCAAGGCCGTGTGTAGTGGCAGGGCCAGCCGCCCCCGACCAGCAGCCCCTTCTCAGGGCCAGCTCAGCCGCCCTGGAGGTGCTGCGGGCCGGGCTCCAGCAGAGGCAGGGCGGGCCCACTGGCGAGTGGCGGAGCTGACCACATAGTGACCCCCGTGTGCTGTGGCTGGGGGACATTGCGGGAGCAGGTGCATCCACTAGGACACGGCTTCTTAGCTTCTAGCTGGAAGCCCTGGGGCCAGTGTCTTCAGGACAGCCTTGGCAGCTCTCTCGGCACCTTCTCCTCTGGGGTCCCTGCTGCCATTGCCTCTCGCCCCTCTTCCCTCGTGAGCTTCCAGGGGGAGGTATAGACGGGTCCCCAGAGGAAGCTGGGGTGTCCCCACCCTGGGAATGACCCACAAACAGGAGGCCCCCGTCCACCTGCCCCCACAGGTGCTGCCCATCCCGCCACCAACCCATTTGGACCCTCAGCCCATCCGAGCAGCTTCCTGACCGCCAGTCACCTGACAGGTAGGTGCGCTCTCTGCTCCCTGGAGGCTGGCTGGCCCTCTGCAGCCCTCAGGGCTGGGGGAGGATGCAGGTGGGTGGGGAGGTGACCCCAAGAAATAGGACATTCCTCAGACTGTATAGGAGCACCTACCATGTTCTGGTGTCACAGGAGGGGAGTCAGGTGGGAGCCCTGGCATGAGCCGTGCAGAACCCTGAGCCCAGGTTGTCCCCACAGACCCTTTCAGCAGGCCAGGCACCTTCGGGGGCCTGGGGAGCCTGGGCAGCAGCGCTTTCGGAGGCCTGGGGAGCCACGCACTGAGTGAGTGACCACCGAGCTTGCTCTCTGCTCACCCGCATGCACGCACACTCGGGCTCCTGGTGTGGGTTTGGGCTAGACCCTGACTGTTACCCTCTGGCCACCTCCCTGGGATGCAGGAATGGTGTGCTTCTCCCCAGCAGCCCTGCAGTTCCACAGGGCACCCTCAGTGGGGGCAGGGAAGCTGTCCTGGCCTCACATTCCCATCCTTCTCCAGCTCAGGGCAGCGGCATCTTTGCCCCCAAGGAGAGCTCTGTGCTGCATGGCCTGCCCAGCCCCCACGAGGCCTGGAACCGACTGCACCGGGCGCCACCATCCTTTCCCACACCACCCCCATGGCCTAAGCCCGTGGACCCCGATCGGGTCTCAGCCCTGACCAACCACGACCGAGAGCCGGACAAGGGCAGGGAGGAGAGGTGAGTGGCGCGCCGCCCCCCCCGCCCCCCGGCTCTTGTGGGCTCCAGCTGGCTTTGCAGAACTCTGGGTGTGGGCCAATCCAAGCTCTGTGTGGAGATCCCCCTTGCTGTACCCTCAGGGCTGGGAAAGCCCAGTAGAGATAGAGCCCCCATGGAGAACCCCTGATGGAGCAGGATTTGGGCAGGAGCTGTGCAGAGGGCAGGTCCACCCCTGGAGGCTGCAGCAGGGAAGGTCGGCTCACTGACCACAGCGGGGCCTCTGCAGGGAGCTCGCAGAGCCATCGGCACCTCCTAGGTGGGGCCAGGTCTGGGAGGGGTGCCTGTGGGCGAGTTCCCCTGGCTGGGAGGGTGGGGCTGAGCCGGGCTGCCCCAGGGCAGCAGGGCTGGGCTGGGGCAGGGGAGGTGGGAGTCCTATTCCAGAGTCAGCAGCAGAGTCTGGAACCTGAGGTGGTTGAGTTGTGGCTGGCTGGTGGAGTGGACAGGAGCAGAGGGGGTCTCCCAGCCTCGCCCCTCCTGTTGGGGGTACCCTGCCAAGGCCCTGGGGGCGGAGCCCTCATCTCTGCCCCCAGACTCCGGGCAAAGGGCTTAGAGGCACAGGGCCGTGGAGCCTCATGAAGGGGAGCTATGGTTGGCCAGAGCCAATGCAGGACTCCAGGGTCCCATCCCCAGAGTGAACTTGGGGCCCAGGTTCCTCACTGAGGGTCTGTCCTGGGGCGTAGCAGCTTGGGTCTGGGCGGGGAGCTTTGGGGTCCTGCTGCAAAGCTGGTTTCCAAGTTGTTTGTCGAGGGGAGGGGAGACGGGTATTGTGGGGCCTTGTGAGGGTGTGGGACCCCCCCCCCAAGGACCTTGAGGTCATACAAGTGGGAACTTGGGGGCAAACAGCTTGCTTCCGGGCACCCTGTTCCACGAAGCCCCTCCTGCCGATAGGCTGAGTGAAGGTGCCTTCCTTGTTCCCAGGGACCTCCTGGAGAAGACGCGCCTGCTGAGCCGGGCCTCGCCCGCAGCCCCCGTGGGCCACCCAGCCAGCAGCCTCCTGCTGCGCGGCCAGAGCGAACCGTGCCGGCCCGGGGTCCCTGCTGAGCGCGAGGCCGAGCCCCGCGTCAAGGAGAGCCGCTCTCCGGCCAAGGAGGACGGCGCCAAGCTGGCCGCGCGCCCGCCATCTCCCTACAGCAAGGCGGCTCTGGGCGACAGCCTGCGCCTGGCGGGCCTCCTGGGCCGAGAGCCGGGGAAGCCGCCCGAAGCGCCGGCCGAGCGGCCCCAGGGCGACGTCAAGGTCAAGGAGGAGCGCAGGGAAGACAGCGACGCGCCCGAGCCCCCAGGGGCCGGCCTGCACCCAGCGCCCGAGCGTCCGCGCGCGCCCCCTGCGCCCCTGCAGCTCGGGCCCAGCCCGGCGGCCCGCGAGCGCCTGGGCTTCACATGGGAGCCCCTGCGCGACGCCTACCGCGGCCTGGAGCTGCCCCGGCGCGCCCTGCCCGCCGCCGCCCCCGCCCCGGGCCCCGCCGCCCTCTTCGAGCCCCCCGAGCGCCCTTACCGCGACCGCGAGCCACACGACTACAGCCCAGAGCGCCTACGGGAGGCGCGCCGCGAGGAGCTGGAGCGCGCGCGGGCCGCGCACCTGGGCGC